TAAAACTACTGGAAAAATTGGGAAGAGAGCTGCAATCCCCAGACTGAGACTATAAACTGATTTCTGAAGGAGTAACGGACTCCGAATTGATTTAGTCATACTAACTTAGTTGGCACCACTTCTGTGCACACTGTAAACATGAATAGAGATAATAAGTACGAAACTGATTGGAGTACTGAGGAGGAATTTAATACCTGATGCTGAAACTAAACTATAAGGGAATAAATGGGGATAATTTTCCATCATGTCTGCTTTTTCTCCCATGTGGCTCCCTTAACTAGCTGGTTGCTCCACAAGACTTTCACTTAAGCGATTTCCTTATTTCTCAACTTACGAACCTGACGGTATAGAATCTAGACTGGGACTTCTTTGTAAGAAAGGCTATCCTTCACTCCTACACTACCTAATGGAACAACTGAGCTCGGATCATAGATGCACTTCTTCAATAGTGACACATGGAAGATTAGGTGCACCGATGCTAACTGTGAAGGTAATTCTAACTCATAGGCCACGCTGCCAATTCGCCTCATAATCTTGTAGGGTCCTACATACCTCGGACTGAGTTTCCCTTTCTTTCCAAACCTCATCACCCCCTCCATGGGTGAAATTTTCAGGTAAACCCAATCATCTACAGCAAATTCTAACTCTCTCCTCCTCACATCAGCATATTATTTCTACCGGCTCTGAGCCGTTTTCAACCTTTCCTTGATAAGTTACACTTTCTGCATAGCTTCATGAACTGAGTCTAGTCCTATCAAACTTCAAACCCCCCTATAAGAGACCTACACCTCCTACCATATAATACATCAAACTGGGCCATCTGAATATTGGAGTGGTAGTTATTTTTGTATACAAACTCGATAAGAGGGAGATGATCATCCCAATTGCCCTTAAAATCGATCACACAAGCTCTCATCATATCTTCTTAGGTCTAAATAGTCCGCTCAGTTTATCCATCTATCTGAGGGTGAAAAGTTGTGCCGATATCGACTTGAGTACCAAGTTATTATTAAATGACTTCCAGAAATGTGAGGTGAACTGAGTACCTCTATTTGAAATGATGGACAAGGGCACTCTATGCAGTCTGACTAACTCCCGGATGTACAGCCTAGCATAATCCTCAACTGAGTCTATAGTTTTAACTAGGAGGAAATGTGCTGGACTTGGTCATCCGATTGACTATCACCCATATTGAATCGTGCTGCCAATGAGTACGAGGTAAACCTGTAATAAAGTACATATTCACTTCTTCCCACTTCCATGTGGGTATGCTGATATCCTGAGTCATACCCCCAGGTCTATGATGTTCCACCTTAACCCGCTGGCAGTTTGGGCACTTAGCCACAAATTCTGCAATGTCCCTTTTCATGTAGTTCCACTAGTAGATATCTCATAGGTCACAGTACATCTTATTGGCACCTGGGTGGATAGAATGTATGGAGCTGTGTGCTTCTGCCAGTATCTGTTGTCTCAAGTCACCTACGTCCGGAACATATAGCCTTGCCCAGTAACGAAGCACACCATCTCCCCCTTTTGAGAAAGCCTTCACTTCTTTTCTAAGAACTACATCTTTCAGCTTAAGCAATATGGGATCTTCATCCTACTTTGACTTAACCTCAACAACTACCGAGGATTCTGACACCCTCTGCAGTACTACTCCACCTTCAGCTGAATCCACCAATTGCACTCCCAACTGAGCTAACCTATAAATATCCTTTTCCAGTTCTTTTCTGCCCTCTTCAACATGAGCAATGCTCCCCATGGATATCCTTCTTAGGGCATCAGCCACCACATTGGCCTTGCCTGGGTGGTATAGCATGCTCATGTCATAATCCTTTAGTAACTCCAACCACCTTCTCTAGCGAAGATTGAAATCCTTCTGACTGAACATGTACTGAAGGCTCTTGTGGTCGACGACCAGAATTCATATTTGCTGAATTTAGCGAACAACTGATGTTCTTTGAGAGTCAGTAATACTATCCTCAGATGGTTAGCATGCTCCTCCGCCATCTGTACCTGAAGTGTTACCCTGCTAAGTTGGACGTCCTGCTAGGGCTGCTAAAGTGGTAGACTGTGCTTTCCCCCGTCCTACTGGCGGACACTCCTTTAGCTTGTGACCCAACTGTCCTTATCCAAAGCAACCCTCTTTGCCCAGGAGGTATTCACCTGGATGGTTCTTCCTACACTTAGGACAAGCTGGGCAGCGGTTGCTGGCACTATGACTCTGGGACTGAGAGCCAGATGCTCCACCCTTTCGATCCTTGCAGGATCGAAAAGTAGGGGCACTAGATGATGTGGGTGCTGGAGTTTTCTATTGCTGCTGCTGTGGGTAGCTACTACCACCAGACTTCTGGTGTCCACAATCAAATTGACCCATTCTAGACTGTTTGTTCTCCCGCTCCATATCCTTCAACTTTCTGCCTCAATCTGTTGGGCATGAACAACGAGGCTAGAGAGGTCAATGTCAATGATGAGCATCGCGGTCCTGCACTTCTTAAGTACCAGGTTTGATAATTGATAAATTTGAGCATGCAATCCCTTCGCTTGGCTACCATTTCTGGAGCATACCTCGACAACCGAGTGAAATTCAACGCATATTCCTCCACGGTCCTGTTACCCTGCTTTAAAGTTCATGAACTCTACAATCTTAGCCTCCCTCAACTCCCGAGGGAAAAATGTGTCTGGAAATGCTAGGGTGAACTCTTTCCACTCTACGGGCCCTACTGTTGTTGGCCTCCCTTCCTTCCATTGGTCGTATCAAATATGGGCCACCCTTTCAATTGGTAGGCACCCAGATTAACACTCTCCGCAGAACTAACACCCATAATATGGGTGATCTTCCTCACCTCTCATCCACAAACTCCTACGGGTCCTCTCCCACCTTGGATCCATGTAAAGCTGGGGGGTTCATTCAGGTGAAGTACCGAACCCTAGCAGCTACTATGGACCCATTTGTATTCACCGAAACCACCTACTGGTTCACTTGGTTAGTCATTGTCTAAGCCAGCAGCTGGATTGCCGCTCAGAATTCTACTGAGGACATTTGGTCGTCCTAAGGGGCTGCTGGAGCTGGTGGGGCAGGTCAGTTGGCATTACCAGTGCTTCTTCTATTTCCTCATTTTGGAGGCATAGTTTCACTGAAATGAATAGAGCACAAGTTAGGAGGACATTTTCGGTATTCAACTTCAACTCACAATAAGGAGTATGAACAAAGGGAGTTTTCCTAATAACGTCTTGTAGCCTCCCCGTCATAAGTGTGGCACGCTTCACACCTATGAAAAGTACTCTACTTGACATGAATTTCAGACATCCTAGGATACTCTAAACCTAGTGCTTTGATACCAAGTTTGTCATGACCCAAGTCTATACCCTGGAAGAGACATGGTACTTGGTGCCACAAGTGATTGATCTCTGAGCGGGGAAGGCAACAGTGACAGGATGACTCGTTGGTCCTCATAATGAGTTGTTCCATATCTCATGGATCCTCGAAAGACAACTGACAGGGCTGACCATGACCAAGACAAAGGGTCCTTACTGCTGACAATGACTCATTGTCTCAGTCGTTCTGAGATAAAATTTTCCGGTTTCCCCTTGGTTTTCATGCAAGGTTTGAGTTTGGTCTTGGAAATTTTTGGGCTGTTACAGGACAATCTCAAGTGGTCAATTTTTATGGGGTATAGGCCTCCCAAAAGATAACGGAAGTGTGTAAGTTTTCCTCAGGTCCAACGGAGATTGGCCCTCGAGTGCAAAGGAAAAGCGGAGCTTGACTGCAAGACCCATCCATCAAGTAGGGATGAAACTAATCCTTAGTGATTTGACAGTGCTAAGTGGAAGGTCCATCGCTCAGAAGATAATATTTACTCTAAGTATAATAGGCTAATCTTCCCCAAGAGCTCACATTGACCAGAAAGTTTGGCCCCTTGATGTCGTCTCTTCGCCCCCTGAGGTTGTAGTATGTTCCAAGGGTTAGGTTGTTCACCCATTAAAGTGGTATTTGAGCTGAGTTCAAAATGTGATGTGATAGTTCGATCCATATCCGGTGTGGGAATTAGAGCATTGACAGGATCTTTTCCTAGCATGAGAGGATTGGGAAGGATGCACCTCTTATGTGTCAATTATCGTGCCCACGATAAACATTGGGTAGCCAAGTGCGGACCGAATAATAGTTGAAAGAATCAAAGTAATAAGCCTACCCAAGATGAATGTTTTCCTATTCCAACTTCCCTAGAGGTTCTAGTACCATAGCCGAGATAGCTATGGATCTTTTTCCCCTGCGGGAATGGAGCAATAGAAGCTTTTTTGAAAATTTAAGAAAAGCTCACGTTGAGACGAGTTGTTTATCATCTGTCCAGTGAAAGTGTAGTGATGTATGCAGCTAAAGCATCCTAACAAACCAGTAGATCTTAAACCTTGTTCCTACATGGCTGATCAATTTGATCAGGCGCTCCCATCTATTTTCATTGTTCAAATCTTTGAAATCATTATTCAACTCTTTGACAACATGAAAAAAAATCAAAAGCTCTACCCTCCCTCTCTACCTATCGAAGGGATGGAGGCCTTTGGTGTCCCCTTCAGTCAAGAATTAATGCCTCAAAATCACTAGCTAATATGATTTTCTCTGATGCTTTCTCCATTCATGGTTCGATATTATGGTGTCCTAGGCGTAAGGATCCACACTAATCCATCCTGAACTTGGTGATTAAACTCTACTCCGATGATGATACTATAAGGGTGGTCCTACGAAATATAGCTCGACGTTGGGATGATAAAAAGCTTAATAGCTCTCATTCTTATTACTTTTTCAATATGAAAACGAAAAAAATTAAAAGGACATTTTATTCAAAACCCAATTGCGACATCCATTCTCACCCACTTCATACCTCAGAGCGCACCCTTCTTATAGAGATAAACATGTTTACACATCTTCTTAATCCGAATGGATGGAGAGAGAACAAGTTCCTTTTTTAAGGGTACTCACGGGAATAGATCCAGTGGAGATGGGATGGGGCCAATAGCTCAGAGGATTAGAGTGTGTGGCCATGAACTACGAAGTTGGGGGATCGAATACCTCCTCACCCATAACTAGACCAAAAGGGAAGTACATTTTCCTCTGGGGTAGGAAAATCATGATTGGTATAGTGAACCAAAAGCTATGAAATTGGGTGTGCGTCTTTTATCGAAATCAAATGGCTTTTCTTGTTATCTTTTTATTTATTATGTATTGTGAATGGGGGAATTACTACACATAGTATGCCCGATCAACATATTCTTTTGTTTTACGCTTCATAACTATTCCTCGGCCATGCTTGGGCATGATAGCATAACAAGTATTAGTAGCATAACAAAAAATCCTTCCTCATCATTAATATCTTTGCTCGTGGAAATTGTGACCTCTCAGGAGAATCAATGACTGTATCAAAAATGCAGCGGTAATACATCTGAGACTTCTTAATTGGATAATTGTAAATAGTCCCAGGTCTGTGGAACAAAGGATTATCTCAGACCTAGATAGAGGTATTGATGGTGATTCTCTAATATCACAAAACAGAATGTGATACAATGAGATAGAATGCAATAAAAACAAATACAGGGAACGGGTTACCAACTCTTAACGAGAAAATCGAGCCCTTTTATTCTGAATTAAAGAATTCGGAATCTATCAAATCTCCCCAAGTAGGAGTCGAACCTACGACCAATTAGCTAATAGTCGACTTCTTTACCATAGGAGCTATTGAGGAACAACAAGAGATTTGATCTTATAGAATTCAATTCTCATTCTCGGCCCATGAACAATATGAGCTCGAAGCTTCATTTGTAACTCCTAGAACTTTTTCATGATGACTCCCTTACATGCCTTATTTTAGAGGGAACCTCAAATTGTATCTATTTCATTATATTTTATTAATTTAATATTCTTTTGGTGTCATTGACATAATAGATGACGTTTCTAGTCTATCTCTTTCTATTTCTTTTCCATATGTGAAAAGTTCAAAAATCATCATATAATAATCCAAAAAATGCAAGAGAAAAGAAATAAAAGAGGTTTGTGATGATTTTTCAATCTTTTCTAATTGGTATGTAGTATCCTTATGCATGAAGATAATCAATTTGGTCATTTTGGTCGAACTCTATTATGGATTTATGACCACATTTTCCATAGGACTCTCTTATCTCTTGCTTCTCCGAGCTTTGGTTGTGGAAGAAGAAACCAAGAAGAAGGTATCACAAGACATAACCCAATACCTCATGGCTCGAGCTGACGTCAGTCATGCACCACATGTGTCCATATTCCCGAAGGCACCCTCTCTTTCAAGAGAATTCATGATATGTCAAGCCCTAGTAAGGTCCATTACTTTGCATCGAATTAAACCATATGTTGCACCACTTGTGCGGACCCCTGCCAATTTCTTTGAGTGTCATTCTTGCGAACGTACTCCCTAGGTGGGATACTTAATGCATTAGCTATGACACCACAAGGGTCAATACGCACAGTGCCTAGTATCCATCATCTATGGCTAGGACTACTAGGGTATCTAATCATATTTTCTTCCCAGCTTTCATTTATCAGTGTCAGCGTTGACCCAATAGAGTGGTTTCTTTGTTAATATCCTTTTCAATCTCTACGCATTTCATCACTCTATCAAAAATTCCCTCTTACCTTACCATACTCCAACTTGGTAGTTTCCACCACCTATCCAGGTTTTAGCCCTGGGATTTGATGGTGGACTTAAAAGGCCACCTACAAATGCTTTATTCCTAATTATTTTGGATAATGTTTAAATCCTCTGTATTACCGTAGCGTGGAGTTATCTGATGCTTATTATCCAAATACCGTCATTATTTATTCTCTAGGAAAAACATTTCATGACTCATAATCCTTCTACCTCTGTACAGCATTACTCCATCAGGGTTTTGCCTGTTGCAGAAAATTCCCCACTACTATCTCCTGTAGGATTCTGGATCATGTCTTAGTCCTAGTGTGACTGATCATCCTCTCGGGCCAGCTACTAATCATTGCATTGGTAAGTTATTGCCTCACTACTAGCTAATCTGACGCGAGCCCTTCCTCGGGTGAATTTATCCTTTTGCTCCTCAACCTACGGGGTATTAGCAGCTATTTTTAGTTGTTGTTTCCTTCCTAAAGGTAGGTTCTTATGCATTACTCACCTGTACGACACTGGAAACACCATTTCTCATGTTTCCTATCCAACTTGAATGTTTTTAGCATGCTGCTATCTATTCATCTTGAGCCAAGATCGAACTCTCCATGTGATTCATAGTTGCATAACTTATAGCTTCCTTGTTTGTAGACAAAGCGGATTCAAAATTGTCTTTCATTCTAAGGCATAACTTGTATCCATGCAATTCATATTCACCTAGAGTTCTCTCTTAGAAATATATCCATCTATTCCCCCTCAGGTGAATCCCACGAGCCTCTTATCCATTCTTATTGAATGACGACGGATGACTAAATCCAACTAAAAAAACTCACATTGGTCTTAGAGATAATGGGGCTCGAACTAGTGGCTTCCACCACGTCTTCGTGACACTCTACCATTGAGTTATATGCCTTCTTTGGCCTATCAAGAAATAGAATAGACTAATCCTATATTAAAGGGTCGATAAACGCAATGACATTATTCTTGAACAACTTAGAGATGGGGGCTTCTTTTCGCACTATTACGGATATGAAAATAATTATCAAATCAAATTCAATTGTCAACTTCCCCTACCGGAAATAGGATTGACTATCAATTTCGAAGTAACAAAAGTTACATCTCTTTTCCATTCAAGAGTTCTTTTACATTTCCATGTATGCCTCTTTGAGACCCCAAATAAGGGACAAATTTCTTTTCTAAGGAACACATATAAGATTTGTCACTACAAAGAGGACAACGGTAACGACAACGGTAACCTTCCATTAACTACTCTATTTATAAATTTCATATTAATAGAAATACATGTCCTACCGAGACAAAATTTGGAACTTGCTATCCTCTTGCCTAGCAGGCAAAGATTTACCTCCGTGGAAAGGATGATTTGTTTGGATCGACATGAGAGTCCAACCACATTGCAAAATTCATGTTTTATATTTGAAAATATTGACCTCCTTGCTTCTCTCATGGTACACTCCTCTTTCCTACCGAGCCCTTTTTCTCCTTGGGTCCATAGAGATAAAATGTAGCACTAGTGCCAACAGTTCATCATGGAAGAAAGGACTCACTAAGACAGGATAACTAACTAATACTAATCTAGTATAATAATCTAATATATCTAATATAATAGAAAATACTAATATAGTAAACAAGAACTGACTTTTTTTGTATACTTTCTCCGATTTCATTTCTACTGCGGGATTTATGAAATCAATCGAATTAGATAGATATCCCTTCAATATAGATCATCAAAAGGATCCCGGAGACCCACCAAAGTATGAAATCTATGATCTTTCAAAAAATGGATTTATATTCAAAGAGTGCATAACTGTGTGGATAAACTCACACTAACCGTCAATTGGGAATCCAAATTGGAGATTTTCCTTGGCAGGTAGTGTAAGGGTTTGGAATGGAATAATATCAATTCATACAGTATAAAAGGTTCTCTATTGATTAAAACACTGTAGTTGTGGTATAAGAATCAAGGAAGGGGAAAATTGAAAAATTCACATGGTACTTTTATAAATATGATTTATTTCATACCTTTCGTTCAATAAGAAAATGGGTCAACTTCTACAGGATCAAACCTATGGAAATTAAGGTATGATGTAAAAAAAAGGAAAGATATCATATTAAATAAATATGAAGTAAAAGAATCCTGATTCCAAATGTATAAATTTAAACTTGAAAAGTATCTTCCTTATTCTTGAAGAATGAGAGGAAAAAGGATTGATCAAGAAAGATATTTTGTTCTTCTTATGTATAAGGTCGTGATTCTATTCGCATATGTTTGGTAAAACAAATAATATTATCCTTTGAGAATAATCAAAAATGGATAATATTCAATTGGAACATGAAAACATGACTAAATTAGTCCTATTTAATCTTGGGGGTAGAGTGGAAGAAGGGGATTCTCGAATGAGGAAAAGTATCCGATTAATTCAAAAGAATTGAACAAGGAGTCTATGAGGTAAAAATCTCATGTACGTTTCTGTAGAGTGACAGTAAGGGTGACTTATCTATCAACTTTCCACTATCACCCTAAAAAACAAAATCCTAGCTTATGTAAAGTTGTCAGAGTATGATTAACCTTTGGATTTAAAATCACTGCTTATATACCTGGTATTATCCATAATTTACAAGAATATTCTGTAGTCTTAGTAAGAGGGGTAAGGGTTAAGGATCTATCTGGTATGAGATATTAAATTGTTCGAAGAACCCTAGATGCTGTCAGAGTAAAGGATTGTCAACAAGGGTGAAACTAGTGTATTGTAGATTCTTATCCAAGACTTCTATCATTTGATGATGCCATGTGAATCGCTAGGAACATGTGAAATGTATGACCAACTCAATAAAAATAGTTTCATAAGGGGACTAGAGCAGGCTACTATAAGACAAAAGATCTTCTATCTTAAGAGATTTGATTTGAAACTCTTATATGTCCAAGGTTTAATATTGAAATAATTTCAGAGGTTTTTCCTGACTTTGTCTTTGTTAATAAATAAATCAAAATACCTTGACTTTTTTAGAATAGGTCTGAGGAAAATAGCAATAATTCGAAGCCCTTGACTTTTTTTGAACAAGTTTGAGGAAAATAATAATGATTCGAAGCATTTCTTTTCATACTATTTCAGAAACCCAAGGACTTAATCGTCTGGATATGTAAAATACAGGAATTTTAATTCTAGTAGAAAAGAGAGGGAAACATATACTTAATTTAAAGTGAGTAAATAGAATTTCATACTGTCACGACCCGAGCTGAGACCCCGGAGCAAGACATGGAACCTAAAACCACGAACGACTCCAAGTCAACCCATGACATGAACATAGCGGCTAAAGAGCATAAATTACTGAAAACTGATAACTGAACATGAATAAGCGAAAGCCTACACACATAATAATAATAAATCGAATCATCACTACATGCTGAGATTCTACATATAGCCTCTAACATAACTGATAAGCTGATGGGAAAGCATCCCCCACTAGCTCGACAAAACCTGTAACTGAATTAACAAAAACAATAAACTAAACTGAATGTCCTCAGAAGATGAAGACTCACCAACACTAGCTAAACTGGACTGATATGAAAGTAGGAGTAATGGCGCGGCTGAGTCTGATCTCTCAGACCTGTATCATTAAACGAGACAGCATAGAGTATGTGGTCAATACTTTAAATGTACTAACTATGCAAGGTAAGTAAACACAGGCTAAATAAATATATAAGAGTTCTTAAGAGTAGGACAGTTCAAAACATGAAATGATAATCATACATAAACATGAGGGCTCAAGGTTTTCAAACCATTTATAAGAGAAACCTTGTAAAATATTGTTACACCCCGTATATTTATAACATGTATATGGCCTATTCGCATGTTGGTTAAGAGTTTTTGAATGCCATACATGCTAGGAAAAGGCCCGGGAAAAGACCGGATAAGTGACACATCGAACCATCGCAAGAGGAGGCTGGCAGACCTCCTCCGCGATGGCCAGAGTGTCACGGAGGCTCACCTCCGCGATACATAGCGTATCACGTACGCTAGGCTCTGCGATACACAGCGTGTCACGGAGGTGAGGTGCAG